GGGGGGGGGGGGCAGGGCGGGGGGTGCTGTTTGACCTTTTGGAGACGAGCGGGAATCTAAAATGGGGAACGTTTCGACCACTCGCAGGAAAAGCGGGAGCAAGGAACTCGAGAAGTACTGCAAGCCTACGGGGTAAGACAAGACACAACAGATATGTATGTAGCAACGGATTTGCGCACTTGTGTTGATATTGCTGCCAGCATTCCATCAAATACAACCTTCTTTTTGCCTTATCTCGTTGCTCAGATTGGTAACATTGGTCGTGCCCGGGCCACATTCAAAGAAGGAATCCCCCGTCGACTCCCCCCCACCCCACCCCACAGACATACGTGCGATTTCTCTTGTTGAGATTTTCGATTGTTTTGGACCTTACTTGTTGGTCCTTGCAGAAATCGAACCCGCGGTCCTCTAGTGTACGCCATTCCAATGTTTCCGTTGTGGGTTTGTTATGTTGGGGGCAACGGCAGCGACTCCCCGAGAAACATTCTGTTGCTTGCCCAACACAAGGAATACGCATGTGTGTATGCGACTATTAATAGAGTGTAAGAGCCTCGACTCTAATCTTGTACCGAAGGGGTGGTTAGGGCATAGGGTAGACTTGGCCCACCATCGCGTGTTCCCAATTTTTCTTGTCTGCATTTCCCCCCCCAGCCTGTACGAAACATGTCCGTGGGACGAGCGGGTAGTTCGCCGCTGGATCATGGACGGCCAGGTCGCCCCGCGCTACCCCGGCGCGGATGCTCCCAGCTTCGGCGGCCCGGGAAAGGAAGCATCCGGCGGCGGTGGCGGCGGCTTGGGCAGCGCGAGCGTGAGCGCGGGCGGCGTGATTGGCTACGAGACGACGGTGAGGGCGACCTTCGGGCCTGGAGCGGTGGGCACGGGGCGGAGCGGTGGCGGCGGAGCAGCGGCAGCGGGAGGAGGAGGGGGCGGGGGCGGGGGCGGGGGGCAGCGGGCGCAAGAGCAGCAGAAGCAGACGGAGGAGTGCCCCATCTGCTTCATGCACTACCACGGGGTGAACCGAACCACCTGCTGCGCGAAGCCGCTGTGCACGGAGTGCTACCTGCAGGTGGGTCGGCAGGAAGGAACGCGGGGGGGGGGGGCAGGAGTTTCTGCAAACCATGGTTTTGTGTCGAGTCTTTTTTGTCCAGGTGCACAACGCCTCCTCGTGTACCATCTCCCCCGCAGCGCCCGCATCCAACGGCCCGTGTGGCTAATTCGATGTACTCGTCCACAGTAGTTGGCCAGCGTCCCTCATTTGGAGCTGGCCGGAACAGGAAGTCGGAGGTGTGGACCGGGCCATCTTCATACGAAACCAGGCGGTCGTGGCTGCAACTTGTGCCGATTGCTTGCACACCGCACGCTACCCAGGTTGTTTTTACTACGCACTCGAGTTGGTCTGACTGTCCTGTACTCTTGACTACTGCTGTGTTCCCGCTACCGGTCTTGCTGCTAATTTTTTGGGTCGACGTGACGTATTCTGCTATAACTCCCCACCCCCCCCTTGGCGATGTGATGTCATAGCCTGCTGCGGTGAAAACCCGGCGTACTCCGTGCCGGCCTTGTAGGGATGCGAGGTCAATGGTCTAACGACTACGGCGTGCACGGCTACGAGTATACCCCCCACCTGTCTTCTTATCTTGGTGTTCCCTCGTCTCCTTTGCCTTGTCTGTCTCTTTTTGCCGGCCTGTCTTCCTCGTTAAACTCCTCATCTCTCTCTCTCTCTCTCTCCATCCCTTTCTCTCGCAAACTGGCTTCCTGATTTTCCTCGACGATATGCATATATCAATTCCACCGACCACCGAAGGTGAGGCCGCCCCGGTCTTCCGTGGTTTGCCCATTCTGCAACTGCACCAAGTTCTCGGTCGAGTACCTCGGGCCTCCCAGCGAGGAGGATCGCGAAAAACGCATGGTGAGAGTTGAAAGTCTACAGACAGAAGGATGAATTGTATTGTTCACTTCAGCTGCCGGTTTCAATAGCCCGAGATGAAACATACAGCTCCTTTGGAGGTACGTGGAAGACGAAAGGCTCTCTCGGAAGTCGCAACAGCTGCTGGAACAACAGAAATGACCCGCCGCCGAGCAGCTTCCACTGCTTGCTACAACGCGATCTGTAAAGACCACATGTGTGTTGACTGTTTTTTGTCTGCAATCGTTCGTGCCCCCCGCTCGACACAAGAAAAACGAAAACGGTTCGAACTAAACAACAACTCTGAAACGTCCGCGCTAATCGGTTCGTCTGTCCGTCTGTCCGTCTGTCTGTCCGTCTGTCTGTCTGTCTGTCTGTCTGTCTGTCTCCATGCGGCGCTCAACGACGCAGGCCGAAGAACAACGCACGATCGAGGCCCGCATCCACGCGGAGCAGGAGGAGCTGATGCGGCAGGTTAAGGAGAGGAACGCCAGGGAGACGAGCGCCGCCGCTGCGGCCGCCGCCGATGCCGCCGCCGCCGCTGCTGCTGGTGCCGCCGTTCCGGCAGCCGGCGCGGAGGAGCAGGGGGGCGGTGGAGGAGGGAATGGGGACGGGGGGCGGGGCGCCGCAGGGGCGGGGTCGTCATCATCCGTTTCGTCGTCGTGAGTTTTGGTTTCTTGGAGTCCGTCCGCTGGGTTTGTGTTAATTTAGGATGGAGAGTTAGTAAAGCTAGATGGTTGCCTGTTCTTTTGCTGTTTGTTGTTGCTTTTGTCGCTTTTGTGGGAATGGGATAGCGTGTGTTCGTCTGTTCCCGTCGTATGTGTGTGTTTCTTTGTACGGAGCATCGACCTTCTTGCCAACCGGCTTGGCAGACAACCAACAACGAACGAACGAAACGGTAGTAATGAACATGTAGTGTCCCGTGCGGATGGCATCGCCAGAGTGGATGGCAGGCGTGAAGATCACGTCGCTTAATCACCGCCGATTGCACACACAACGATCTCGGCGGGAGCATCGCGCTGATCGATGGACAGCCAGCCACCCTCCGCGCTCCGCGTAAGCCACGACGCGAGCCCCGTTCTAACGAGGGTAGCCTTTTATGATCCTCTGCTTTATTTTCCCCCAAGCTTTTAACTCTGATGGCCCTTCGTTTCCCTGTTCCTTCCGTTACCCCCCATCCCCTAACCTTCTGATTTTCTCAGGTCTTCCACGGCGGCCCGCAGGCCCTCCTTCGCGACGGTGGCACAGCGCCGGATGACCGAGGACCAGATCCGGAAGCAGCACGTGCCCCCCGCTACGGCCGCAGCCGCGGCGGCGATGGCGGCGAGCATCGGCAGGCAGTCCTCGACGGGGGCGGCGGCGGCGGCGGGGGTTGCCGGGGGACGGGTCGCTCCCGGGTCGCTGGATCACGCGCTGGCGGTGTCGGCGGCAGCGTAAGTCTCTTTTTCTCGTATTAGGCGTTTCTTTTCTCTACACGCGGTGGTATGTTCCAAGGGTGACTGGCCGATTGGTGGGGCTCATCAGTGTGAGTGCTCGGGTGGTCTCTGGCTCTCTCTCTCTCTCTCTCTTTATCTCCCTCTCTCTCCCCTCCTTCCTCCCTCCCTATTGCCCATGTCTTGATGTATTCGCCAAATGTCATGCTTTCGCCCGTATTCCATCATTTTTGGGCAGCGGCCGTCACCACCACAACCGCAGGGGTTCTCGCATTGGCCCCGGGAGGCGTCGGTCTTACTTGGAGGGGGCGGGCGGCAACGATGGCGCGGACGAATTTCATGTGAGTGCAGTTGACCAAGCAAAGAAATAATCATCTTCTCAACAGATTCTGTGCCTCAGAACTGGCGGTGTCTGTTTTATACTTTTTTTTTTTTTTTTGATGTCCGGTTTAAGAGCCTGCTTGCATGTTGATCATCTTCTCGACAGGCCGGTTTACCCACCGGAGAAGAAACCAAGAAAAGTTTCTCCATCATGCCCATTCCTTCTCGTCTCCGCATGTCGGCTGTATCTGTGTGTATGTGCTTTGTATTTGTACAGCATTATGTGTCGACGAATGCCTACCTCCTGTTTCCTTCCGTTTTCTCAAAGTTTTTTTTTTTTTGTAAACTGCTGTAACGCGTATGTTTTGTTGTGTTTTCAACTTGCATCGGCCTCGCTATCTGACTGACCAATGGCAAGACGTCAGTCTCACATCAAGCTAGAGTGTGAGTGTTTTTATGAGTTGGCATCGACCGCACTACATGCCCGGCTGACCAATCAAAGTGCTCCAGTCCTTTAGCGAGATATAAACACAAGTATGCATACAGCTTTCTTAAATTCGTGTGTGTGTGTGTGTGTGTGTGTGTGTGTTGTGACTTGATGATTGTTAGGCGGACGGTGTCGGCGAAGGCGAGATCCAGCAGGTGGAGGACCTTATGCTGGTGGAGGCTCTCCGCTTGTCCGTGCTAGAGGAGCAGGCCAGGAGAGAGCGGTGCGTATCGGCGAATTTCGTTTGCGACTCGACTTACGAATGTGTTATGGCTTGCAAAGCGGGTATTTTGGTTGTGTTCTGGACACCGGGTACCGCACTGCTGTTTCGTTGTCTCTCAATCTCGTGTTGTTTGTCGCATATGAGTGCAATATAGGTTGGCGCGCCTCCTCCCTCCACACCATGGGTCCATGTAGGTTTGTTGGCCCTGGGTGATGTACAGGAGACGACGGCGGTGCGTTCAAAGCGTGCACTTTGGCAGAGAACGTTGAACCTGAATTACATACAATAGGCAGTTTGAAAGGTGATGTGGCGCGTGGATGTGTCAATTCCGGGAGACGGCAACTCGTTGCGTTGGTTCTGGAAGCGAGGATTGTTGTTGTGGCACTTATTGTAGTTTTTTTTGCTCCCCATGTTGCGGCGGTTGCGATAACAGTCGTGGTCCCGGTTTAGCGGTTCCTTCCCTGTTTAGCAGGATGCCCTGAATAGCGGTCCCAAAATCTCGTGGCACGGCTGCACCTCGGTAGTGAAACTACGTTATTACTGCCAATCCGGTTTAGCGGTGTTGCTCTCAATGGCGGTTTTAACATTTTGTGACACTACGGACAGCTAAACCGGGACCACGACTTCGGTCGGTTCAGAGAGGAAAGAATGCGACACGCCATGTCAACAGCGGTCACGATGGCAAAACAGGTGTATTACCATATCACCGTTGTGAAGATCGACCGCAAAGAAAGGCAAAATGAATACCTCACCATATCGCCATTGTGAACAGCGACCGCATCCGCAAAACGAATATCTCACCATGTCGCCATTGTAAACAGCGACCACAGAGCCAAAACGAGTATCTCACCATATCGCCATTGTGGACAGCGACCGCACACGCAAAACGAATATCTCACCATATCACCATTGTGAACAGCGACCACACACAAACGCAAAACGAATATCTCACCATATCACCAATTGTCAAGAGCGGTCCTCCCAGAGTGTTGAGAACACCCACCCTTCCGGCATTGAACTAATTCACACCCCATCCTCCCCACTAAATTGAATGTATACTGGCAGGTCTGGGGACCTGATGAGAGCTGCGACCGCTGCCTCCGCTTCTGCCAGCACGGCTTCTTCTGCCGCCGCCGCCGCCGCTGGATCTGCACGGCGATCTTCTCCCACTCTGCAGGTGGGAGAGAGAGAGAGAGAGACACCACAGACCCAACTACCCGAGCCCGGCACGAAGTTATAGCGCGGTAGCAAGACAAGGGCGATATTTTGTAGATAAAAAAACAAATCACAGAAAAGACTATCGGTTCCAGATACAATAACCACGATATTTCCCTTAGTTTTGTCTAACCTCGACGGGCAGCCACACATGGACGCGTTTGAGGCTGCTGTACTCAAGGAACAGCGCAGGTTTTTTCTGCCGTCGTCTGCTTCGTGTTTGATACCCGCGTCGTGCTGGATACGGCAACCTCACGGGGCGGCAACGTATGGCGTCATCTGCAGCTTGGATTGACGGGCTGGCATCCAAACTTGTGATGTGCCCGCACACGTTGTTTTTATGGCTGCGAACGTAGTATGTGTTACTCGGCAAACTGCGTGCAACTGCTTTGATGTGGATTTGTCGAAGTTGTTGCAGGCCAGCTGCTGCTCTGCCTGCAGCACCAAATGATGGTTGTACGGGTCGTCGAAGCTTGATTTATCGTTAACGGCTTGGTCCTATACCTGCTCGTGTGCACGATATAGAAGTACATGCCAGCCAGCAGACGGTCGAACAAACAAGTTGTGCGTGGAGGAGTTTGGTGATCAACACATTACCGTGGCGAGACGGCATTCACTAGCCACGAGCTCGTTTTTTCCCAATCGCACAGCCTCGCCTGCTGATGCTGTACCTCGACCGCGATGACATGGCCCATGGCGGCGATGAGTTTGGCACGTTAGTTGGACGACCCACCCGAGTTGACGCAACCACCCGTTTCTTCCGTCGCTTTGGCGCGCAATCAAAGTCTCACCACAAAACAACACAAACGTGTCGCCCTTTTTCACCGCACCCACTTGTTTTTTTCCCGTTGTGCATACCCACGCCTCCCTGCTTCCTGCCCCCTTTCCATGCGTGCACGGACATGGCAGGGCGCGACCGCTGAGGCAGCCTCTCTCGGAGCCCGTCTCGCCTCCCCTTACCGGAATCGCTTACAGCAGCCGTCGTCGGATTCCGCCGCCGCCGCCGCCGCCGCAGGGGCCGCTGCATCGGCTTCCCCTCTTGCGGCGGGTTCTTCCGGCGCCGGTGCTGGTTCAGGGGCGGCGGGGGGAGCTGGCCCTGCAGCATCAGCTTCTTCTTCCTCCGCTGGAGGAGGAGGAGGAGGCGGCGGCGGCGGCGGTGGGCCGCTGGGCTTCTTCTCGACCGGCAGCTTGGCTAGCTGGTGGGATCCCGAGGCGCAGGGAAGCGGCAGCGCGACACGCGAAGGAAGAGATGCGGGTTCTCCTGCGGCGGCGGCGGCGGCGGCGGCGGCGGCGGCTGGTGCTGCTGGTGCTGCTGGTGCTGCTGGTGCTGCGGGGCCTCTCGAAGGAGAGAGCTCCGCGTGGGTGAAAGCGGAAGACCCAGAACACACCGGCCCGGCGACGGCGGCGGCGGCAGCCGGGCAAGGGAAAAAAACGGAAGACGAGAAGAAGCAAGGGCGGGCGGTCTGGGGAGACAGCACGGCGGCGGCGGAGGCGGCGGCGCCTCCAGTCGGGAATGAGGGCAAGGGGGAAGCGCAGGCGGGGGTTGCTGCCAGGACAGCGTTTTATCGAGGGAGCGCCGCCGCTTCAGCGATCGGCGGCTCCGCCGCGATGAGTGGCGGCGGCAGTGGCGGCGGCGGGGCAAGGGCGGGGGAAGAAGGCTACCCGTCGGAGATCCCTGAGTCGGAGGAAGAGCAGCTGATGCTCGCGATCGCGCTGAGCTTGCGGACGAGCGGGGGGGGCGCAGAAGATGGGGCGGCGGCGGCGGCGGCGGCGGCGGCAGCAGGCGCCTCCGGCCAAGCAACAGCGAGCGTCGAGAAGGCGGGTGCTGCCATCGGCGTGCCTGACGATGCGAGGCAGCAGAGTGCCTTCGGCGCGGGCTGGTCGGCGACGGGCGGCGGTGCTGGTAAAGGCAGGGCGGCGGGGTGTCCGAGAACGTCGGAGGAAATGTTGCGGTGGGTGATGAGCGAGAAGAAGAAGATGGCCGCGGCGCAGGGTGGTGCCGAAGAAGAGGTGAGGGATATATGTAGATAACCCTTGTTTTTTTGGCGGCCGTTTTTGCTGGCGGCAACGGCGGGAGTGACGGCGGTCTGCGGCTGTAGTGCTTGTCTTCCCGGCGACGGTTTGTACGTGTATGGTGTTGGTGTCGGAGTGACGAGAAAGAACCTGTGGATGCAGCAGGCCCGCACGCACCATCACAACCACCCGGCTTGAATCCACGACTGCTGTAAGGGTTGAACTTGAGCAGTATTTTTGATCGCTTTTGGTTGGCATCTGAATCGATCGTGTTGGGCTTTGCGGGTCAGCCCCGGTCGGTCTAGTTGTCCTCATCCACGACGTCGGCGCCGTTTGTTTTCGACTTGGTGCTGGGTTGAAAGAAACCCGGAGCGACAGAAGGCCACACAGAACCGGCGAAAGTTAGCCCCCCCGGTGTGGACTGCGTCCAGCGCATTCATTGCCTTGCAGGTGTTGCTTTTGTCTTGCAAGGTTGCGACAGCTTTTCAAGACCGTCTGCTCAATGAAAGATACCCCTCCCCCCCCGCCGCCGCCGCGCCCCCCGACCTCTCTGTTATCAGCCTATCCCCAACTCGAAGCTTCCGCCACCTCCGTCCGATTCCTCGGCCCCGGAGTTGACGGGTGTGGGTAGTGTGGCGGCGCGCGGTACCACCGCCGAATCAGCGACCGCAGGCGCGGCGGCGGTGGAGGGAAAGGAGGAGAAGGAAGAAGAGCTGCGGGGCAAGCCTCCAGCTCCTGCTGCAGGGAGCGCCGCTGGCGGCGTCTCTATGCCCTCCCGAAATGCTGTGACCGAGGGAGATGCCGTTGCGGCGACGCTGCCGCCCGCGGAAGGAGGAGGAGCGGGAGCGGCAGTCCCCGCAGCCGTCGTTGGCTGTAGCAGCACCCAAGCGACCGCCGCCGCTTCTGCTTCCCCTGTTGCTGGTACTTCTGCTGGCGCTGCTGGCGCTGCTGGTGGTGCTCCCGCCTCCGTTGCCGTCGAAGAAAGCCGGGGTATGCTTTCTGAACGATCGCCACCGGCGGCGGCAGCGGGGGGAGCCCTTGGTGTCGGAGCGGTTGCCGTCATAACAACGTCGAGGGCCGCTTCTTCTCCTCCAGCAGACGAAGTGGCGGCGGCGGCGGAGGAGGAGGAGGAGGAGGAGGAGGAGGAGGAGGAGGAGGAGGGCTCGAGGTCGTCGCCGCTGCCTCCGACCGTCCCCGTTGCCGCGGCGGCCACGTCCACCGCTTCGCCCGGCGGTGTGGTTGGACCCAGCCAGGACGGCGGCGAAACGAGCTGCGAGGGCGGCGGCGGTGGCGGCGTCGACGGCGACGAAAGCTCCGCCACTCCCCCCGGTGTGACGGAGACTGTCGCGGGAGTCCCGGCGGTGGCGGTAGTCGCAGAAGGGGAAACCGCAACAGAGGAAGGAGGTGCGGCTATGGGACGGCCCGTGGGCGGCGATGACGGCGGCGGCGGCGCCTCTACGCCGCCGGTGGAAGCCGGACCCGTTTCTTCTTCGGCGGTGGTGCCGGCACCGCCGTCTTCCTCCGTGGGCGATGGCGTCCGCTGCTGCTCGCCGGTTGGTGCCGCTAGCACCGCCTCCGGTGCCCTCGCGCAAGAGGGCGTGCGGGGGCAGGACAGCGGCGGCGGCGTCGGCGGTGTCCCCGAGGAGGAGGGTGCCACGGCCGAGGTTGGCGAAGATGGCGGCGGCGAGCTCGCCGTCGTTTGCGGCGAGGCCGCCCCCGAGGCGCTGTCGTTGACACCGTCGACGACGCCGGTGCCGACAGTAGCCCAGGAGGGTTCCTCCTCCTCTTCCTCCACCTCCACCTCCTGGCCGCAACCCCCCCCGCTCCCGCCTCGTTCCGCCGTAACCCCCGACGCGCATGGCGCCGCGGATGGGGAATCGGAGCCTGAACCGGTACAGCAGTCAGTCTGTGGTGCGTATGATGATGGTGTTGCCGGGGCAGGGACGGAGGAGCTAGCGACGGGAGAGCACGGCGGAGAAGGTATTGTCGGAGCCGGCAGCGGCGCTGATGACAGGAGTATAGTTGCCGACAATCCCACAGCAGCGGCAAGAGCAACTGCAGCAGAGGAAGCGCGGGCGGTAAGCGCTACCGTGGCCGTGGTACCCGCGGCGGCGGCGGCGGCGGCGGCGGCGGTTCCGGCGATGGAGGATGCGATGGATGAGGCTGACGAAGGCGGTGGTGTTGTCGTCGTCAGCGATGCCGCCGAGGTGACGCCTCCTGCTCATGAGGTGCCGCCTCCTACTCATGAGGTGTCGGCTCCTGCTGCTCATGACGTGTCGGCTCCTACACATGAGGTGTCGGCTCCTGTTGCTCATGAGGTGCCGGTTCCTGCTGCTCATGAAGTGTCGGCTCCTGCTGCTAGTGAGGTACCGCCTCCCGCTGCTGATGAGGTGCTGCCGACCCCTGCTGACGACGAGGTACCCCCCCCTGGCGCTGATGAGGTATTACCCCCGGCTGTCGAGGGCCCTCCTGTGGTGCCGGAGGAAGCGACCTCCTGCCCGGCGGGGAACGTTGACGCGTTGTTGGCGGGACAGGCCAGTGACGGAGGTGCTCAGGCGGCGGCGGCGGCGGCGGCGGCGGCGGGCGGCTCGGAAGGTGTTGCTCCACCCGCGACCTTGGCGGCGTCTGGTGGGGGAGAACCCGAGGAAGTGGGCGAGGTGAGGGCTGCTTCTGTGTGTGTGTGTGTGTTTTTTTTTTTTTTTTTTTTTTAGCATCGACCGCGCTATCCGGCTGGCTAATGAAATGGCGTCAGTCTCAGTTGAAAGTGTGTGTGTGTGACTGTTTTGAGGCCCCTTTGGTTCTGCCGGTAGATCGTGTGTAGGATGCCTGTGTCCAAGTTAGAAAGCAGAAAATGCTTGTAAAGTTTCAGTGTGTGCGTGTACTTATATTAGCATCGACCGCGCTAACCGGCTGACCAATGAAATGACGTCAGTCTCAGTTGAAAGTGTGTGTGTGTGACTGTTTTGAGGCCCCTTTGTTTCTGCCGGGAGAAGATGTGTAAAATACCTGTTTTCCGGGTTTGTTCTTTCCGTGACCGGGGCCTCGTCGGGCGGGGTTGCTCCCATGATACGTCTTGTTCCCCCCCGTAAGTAGATAATCTTGGCCCTGTCGCTTGAGGCAACCATCCTCCCTGCAAGCATTGCGCGCGTGGAGAGCACGAGCAGTAGCGAGGAACCAACAAGTGTTTTTTGTTTTTTGTTGAGTGCATGCATGTACAGCAGCGCGCGGGGGTATTCATCTCCACACGCGTGGTATGCCTTTGCATGGCATGCACGCGGTATAGGATTCGATATGTTTCCGTTGACGCAGAACCAGTGGCCGGATGCTGCAACATCGTTGAACACTTGTGCTGACAACTTGTCCATCCTTGCCCCCCCACCCCCCCCCGCTTTTCTCGTCGGCTCTTTTTTTTTCGGTTCGGCAGAGGGAAGGCCAGGAATCCGCCCCGTAGCACCTCGCGGTATGATGACCGGCATGCTTTCACCTACAACAATCGGTTTTGGACTTGTGCTGTTCGCGCGGGATGTTTTTGGGGTGGGTGGGGCGTGTGGTACGTTTTTTTTGGCTCGCTCTCGGTGTGTGCTCACGTACGTACGTTCGTGTCGGCGGCGCTGTTTAAAAGGTGATGCCCGAATGAGTCGAGGTTTTAAAGGTGCCACCGCTGGAGATGATGCGGCTGCTTTTGTTGTCGCTTGCTGGTCTGCTGGTGCTGGTACTGGTGCTGCCGCTGCTGCTGAGGTGGCGGCGCGCGTGCGCAGCTAAATAGCTAGCTAGTTAGTTTTTCTCGTGGACTGATATTTTCCTCGGTGCTGGCGCGCGTGGGGCGAAAGGAGGGGACCGGCTGTTCGGTGTTATTTCGTCTTGCTTTGATGATCGTTCTTTCGACGGCGGAGGGATGTACGTCTCACTCCCTCTCTTCCGCGTTCGTGTCATTTCAAGGCGCTTGTTTGTGTGTATTGGGTTGGTTCACTTCAGCGCATCTCGTACTAAACTACTACTATGATAATGCATAGGTACCCTGGTGGGTTGGCTTCCACAAGCAACCGGATGGCGTTATTTCCATTTTGTGCGAGTGGTGTGGGGTGAACAGAAAAAACAGCACCTTCTCTTTTGGGCCGGGTGCTGTGAAACGGGGAGTCACGGGGAAAAAGCAGTTCTATTCACCGGGTACATGTGTAGTTTGCGGTAGATCTCGTCTGTAATTTCGATCTGTTCGCGACCCCCCTCGGTCAGTGGATACGGTTTCGAATCGCTCCTCGTTTTTGGTACTTTTTATGTCTTTTTAGGATGCAGCTTCGTTCGTATGCCATAGATGCAGCTTTGTATTCATTAAGTTGATGTTAAGACGCAGCTTTGTGTACACACAAGTTGGTTCAAGATTCAGCTTCTCCGTAGATATGAAGCTGTGCTCTTAGTTCGTAGTACACTCTTGAGGGTTAAAGCGGGGGGCGTTGGTTTTCGTCGTCATCTTGTGGCTTCGGGCAGAGAGAGGGGTGGTGGGTGGCGGTGATCGTAGCCGCTGCCACGCGCTTGTGGATTTGGTTGTGTCTTGTCTCTTTCCCGAAGTAGTATTGTTTCGGCGTGTCTGCCTTCCTCGTTGTTCGCGGGGTCGGGGTTGGCAGGGGTCCACGACTTGGTCATGTTTTCCCGCGCACCCACCCCTGCCCTTTGTCTCCACAACTTTGTAAATAGTTTTTTTTTCTGATGCATGCATGTATGCAAGTCTCAAAATCCAATTATTTTCTAGTTGGTTTTTCAGATGCTTTCGAATGGGCATCGGAAGGTAACAGGGAAATAAGTAAATACGGGGGGACCCCCCGGAGGCCCCGTAGACAGTATACTCTGCCGAGCACCCCAAGGAGGGTAGTCTGGTTGTGTGTGCGCGTTGCCAGCGATACATACATGCCACGGTTTTGTCGTGTTGTCGCCCGGTAGCGTGATCGAATCTGAACACGCGCCTGCCTGCCTGCGACAGGCAGCACGGGTGGTCCAGTTTTTTGTCGCACGAGTGTTTTTCTATTATTATTATTGTCGTCTCATCTAATAATTATAAAACACGTTGCGTTTGGTAGACGTCACGTCTCGCTTCTGAGGGGGAAAAGCTATCGCCGCAACCGCGTACTCGACGGTAGGGTTCATTCCATTCCGTGTGAGCAACAGAACACTGATCGGACTATCCATCTATCCAGGCACAAGCGTTTGTGCAGCAATTACTGCGTGGGTACGAGAAACGAGACTAATGCCGTCCGGAGATGGTACCACTGCCAATCTCTTGCCATATTCTGCATGGAGCCTTATCCGTCACATCACCGCTGCTACTACTACTGCTACTACTGCTACACTGCTACTACTGCTACTACTGCTACTACTGCTGCTGCTGATGGTTGCGCCTTGTTGCCCGCAAGGAAGCAACTGGTACTGCCTGAGGAGAGTCGCGACGGCAGTTTTTTTTTTTTAATTCTCACCTAGTATCTATCATATATCGCCACCGCGCCCACGATTGATTTCGCTTGCTGAATATAATCACGCAGCAAGTAGGAGGAGCTACAACAACAGACAGTGAGCGCGAACGTCGATGTCCGGGTGTTCTTCCCACGCCGCCATACTAGTTGAAATAGAAGTATAGCTTTTATTGTGCACAAATAATGCCCTGGTTGGTCGGTCGGTTGGTTGCGTCGTCGTCGTTCGAACACCGCAAACCAGTGGGAAAACGACGGAACTAGGAAGTGTACACACGTGTGTGTGCATTGACACATCCCTTTTTTTTTTGGGAACGAACGCTTTGTAGCCCCCCCCCCCCCGTCCGCCGATTTATGTGCTACAGTACCCGTAGAAAAATGGGGTGGAAATGTCATGTGGACAAGAGGGCCCACCGAGACGGATTCTGGAAGCACAGCCCTATAACTATCGTAAGGTGAAAACCGGGGGGGGGGGGGATTACTGTGTACATACTTGCGGTCTTGGGGGGATAGGAGTAGCCTGGGTATATACAACATTGTTAGCAGAGGGAGGGGGGCCGTGGCACACATTTCATTGTAAGAACGAGACACGGTAAGGTTGTGATTCATTCGCGACTGGGAAGCACAGGAGAGTCAGTGTGAAAAAGGCCGACAACTTGCTTGCTTGCTGATTATTACGGGAAAACAAACAAAACACCGCGGAGTATGTACCACATACCACATTCTGGACATTGTGTACCAGGCTGGGAATATTTTTGGATTTCACGCAAAGGCCAGAGGTTTTTGTCTGAAATGGGAGGCAGGCGCTCTATCCTGCCATCTAGTAAAGCAAGGGTGTTGGTGCGCAGTGGATCATGCACGCACAAGACTCGGCAGGAGCTCAAAAGAAAATAAATACTCCGTAGTCTACAAAATCAACGGCGACCGATCGAGTGGCGGCGACGTGGAGTCAAACCACCACCATTTTCGATTTTGTCAAAACTAGGGCCTCGTGGACTAAAAAAAAAAATGGACGGATGTAAGAAAGAAATCGAATTTACTTATTAAAAACTCGAAAATGTCTTCATTTTCACTGCCCTCTCTGCCTTTTCGTTCAACTGCTGCAAGACTTTTGTTCGACTAAGTCGTCAAAAACAAATCTACCAGAATTCAATTCTCTCGGCCCTCCCTCCCCCCCTCCACCAAACCAACAAACAATATAAATACCGTCCCCTCCTTCTCACTGCCCTTGCTCACGCTCATCATATCTTTACCACCAGGTCGGCGATCCTCACTACTGTCGTTCCGCCTGATCCCTGCGCAGTGACTCTGGTCTCTATAATACTGCTGCTGCCGCTGCTGCTTTCGCGCGCGCTATCTATCTATCGATCACAACCATCATTCATTCCCCACACAGTACGAGTGAAACAAAGGAATCCAGTCCTACGCCAACAACAAAAAAACAGCTGTGAGGGTACATGCATGTATCACTAACAACAGCGTTTTGTTAGGGCGATGTGAGTGCCCCGAGCGATTATTGCAAGCCGTCCTCCGCCCTCGCGCTTCGTCTGTTTTTCTCTCGACCTTCCTCGCCCCGTACCTATACGCACGTGGTTCAGGGCGTCGGCAAAAAAAAATGGACGACAAACTCACAGCAATTTTCACACTGCCTATGTAGTAGGCTATCGCAGCTGGAGGTTACCCACAACAGCACCGGTCCGTTCAAACCGCCTCCTACAACCGCTAAGTCATACAGCCCCGTCCTTATTGCCTCCGTCCAACCCTTAAGCAAAAGGGCAGAAAGCTAATCGAAAAAGAAGCGCACACATGCATACGTATGTACGTCGAAATCCTTGGGAGCAGCTAACGTTTCGGCGGACAGCACGCACATCGACAAGCGGGGGGGTGTATCGACTCGCCAAAAAAATCCAACAAGACAAAGACTGCCATGCCTACCGCCAGCAGCAGTATCGCGGTTCTAATCATCCCACTCCTCGTTTTGACCCCTGACTGCATTGGGTAACCCTTGACCTATCCCCCCCCGCCAAGAGAAATTCGGGGGGGGGGGGGGGAGGGGTCGGTCGCGCTTTGACCCTAACAATCAGACGGATAGTATTTGCCCTGATCACAATAGCCAGTCATGTTCTGGCGTTCCCCGAACGGGAACCCTTTCCATGATGCCCCCGTTATACGCAAACCCCTCCTAGCCGTGGAACTCCAAGCGGTATGCCACGTCTCGCACTCGCTCTCCAAGGGTGCCGAGGCGCAAAAAAGAAAAAATCGTGCCGGGGGCACCTCAACAGCAGAAGGAGCATGTGCGCTCTCAAAAGCGCTCTCCCTTCTTGGGCAGCAACCCCCCATCAGCATCGAACGAATGAATCTGCGGGGCCTCTCTGCAAAAGCGAGATGCGTGTGTGCCAGGCATTCATTCATAATCGGACCCGAGCATCGCAGAAAAGAGAACCCCTGCACCATGTGCGAGATGCCAAGGATACCCAGCCCCAACGCTACATCCAGCACCCATCCATCCAACCCAGACCCCAGAACAACTTTCTCTCACGAATAATAGCAATAGCGCGTAGACAAAAAAATACCACTTTAACGCAAAAT